AAATTCATATTTCATAGTCAAGTTGCTCTAATCGAAAAGACTATTACATTTTAATCGAAAAATAAAAATAAAATTGAAAATATAAACAATCCACATTCTTCTACTCTTTATACCATAGTCCACAAATAAAATTAAAGCTCCAACGACAAATCCATCACCCCTGGGTTCTTGGATAATCAAGAGATTAGGAAAATTGTGTCAACATATTAGTCGTTGCTATTACAAACAAAAAGCAAGGTTCAATTTGATTTGCGTTCTAGTTTTGATTCTATTTTGAGGATTTGCTTTAAAATTGTAAAAACGCTTTTAAATTGTTATTCTGAAAATTTGTATCTCAAAAGGAAACTGAAATACACATTTGGTTTGAATTTTTTTTTCAAAAAAAATTATAGTACCTTTTATTGATTGAATTTAATTATATAGTATAATAGTACAATTTTAGGCTAATAAATTATCTAGTAATATATATTTGAATTTTGAAAAATCATACAATGATTTCCTGCTCCAAAATGAAAATTGACTTGACAAAAATAGGAAATAAAATCAATGGTGTGAACTAAAGATAGTAAAATCAAATTTCAATACACGCGCACCACATTTGATTATCTATAGAACTGTCATGTCATTTATGATGTCGTTGATAATCATCGACTATGCTTCAATGGTAGATAGTCGACAAAAGCCCTCATTGTTATCAACAAAAGTTTATTCCTTCTTTACTTTCTTTCTTCTTCTTCTTTTTTCAACAAGTTATTGACAAAATATTATGTAAGTACTTAGTCTCTATTTGACAATCATTATTTTCAAACTTTTTTATACACTTTTTTTCAACCACATATTCATACAATAAAATATTCTGCATATAAATTCAAAAATTTTCCTACTCTTTAATCACACATTCTCCTAAATATTACAATTGAAAACATTGCTTTTTTACAACTAATGATTGTCAAACAAGGCTTAATATATTCCTTTATGTTCTTAAGGTTATGAACAAAACTTTAATTATTATTTTAGCTTTTATTTTATTTCAGAGTAGAAATTTTTGTCTTTAGTAATTTATTTTCTTATTTTTATTACATTATTGACTGAGGAAAACTCAGAGTTTATTTTTTATTTTTTAATTAACCTTCTTTCCAAATAAGACTTTTGAGAACTGAAGTGAGAAAGGCATTGCTTACTCAGCAAAAAAAATAAATGTCGACAAAGTACCAAACCTTAGAGTTAAGATGAAAAGCTACTAAAATTGGACAGTATTGTCTAGATGTGGGATCTTAGGTAACGAGGCTATTGTTTTGAAACAAGCAATAATAAGCACGTTCAAAATATAGTGAAAAAAGCTCAAGTAGCCATTCATAAATGTCTATCATTTTTACGTTGATACTCGCTCGAGACTCGTCAATTGTACTACTTGACTACTACGTACAATTAAGGAGGTTTTGATAACATAAACGTACTTTATGGTATTACACAATGATAGAAATTTGTTTGCATTATCAAACATATTTTTGAAACACTACTAATGTAAGAAAACATGAAAATATAAGTTGAGATTATGAGGTATCAATCTCGTTTGTTTTACCCAAAATTAAAGTGTGTGAAATTTTAAGCTTCAAATCCTTTTGTTACAAAATTGGAAATGGATATTACAATCTCATCATGTTTTTAAAGATCAATATTCTAAAATTAGGGTGAAGGTTTCATCATTCAAAAATAAAATATTTCATATCTAAATATTAAATATTATAATACAAATTTTATCCCGAACCTTAATTAATTTCCCATATCATTGCTCTCTCTTTCTATCCCTCACTTATCTCTTCTCTGATGAAGACTCCACCACCACTATTGTGATCGCTGCGAAGACGAGTAGGTTGAATTGCTCAACAGGTTATTATTTTATTAGCGAGATCGAAAAGACGATGGCAATTGCCACCAATAGACTGACGAGACAAGCACCGCATAGCTACTGTACAACGACGCAAAAGAGGAGCAGCTATGGGTGGTGTTGCTTCCTATGTGAAACCAAGTGAGACCCATCGATCCACCATAGGTGAGATTCATGATCGAGATTTACTGCGCACCGTGGTCGGAATCTGTAGTGTCATGATTTGCTGTGGGTTTTTTGGTTTGAGTTGAAAATGTCCCACAAACCACTCAAACCAAATCCCTATCTAAAAAATTATTAATTTGTGACCCTTTAATAAGTTTTAACTTATAATATTTGTAATTTGTGATCGATAAATAAATTGCTACTTATTAATTTTTAATTTGTGATCAATGAACAAAATGTGATTTATATTTTTGAATTATGACCGTAAAATAATTTGTGACATATAAAAATCATGATTTGTGATCAAAAAATAATATGTGACTAGCTAAATCGTTAATTTGTGATCAAAATGTATAAATCTGTGACTTTAATTAATTAATTAATTAATTTTAATAAATGTCTGATTTTTGAAATTTAAAACATTTGATCTTAATTTTGAAATTGGTGACACTTAACATCTTAATTATGAATTTTGCTCAAATTACAGCATGTTTGGTAGAAATTTTAATTCAATTAACATCATTTTTTGACCGTTATTTCACTATTTCATCTATCATTTTTGAATTTTTCTCTCATAGGTAGGACTCACTTTATCTTTAACGGTCAAAATATCAATTAACAAAATCTCTACCAAACAAGTACTTAGAATGAAACCTACTGATTAAAATAGGACCCAAGTGCAATACAGTTAATATACTTTCTTTTCCACTCCTCTACTACCAATAAATTATACTTTCCACCCTTTTCTTTCATTTTCTCCAATTTGGCCCCCTTTCGCCTGCCCTCCGACTCTTCACGCGTTATCAATTCATTCTATAAAGTATCGCAACCCTCGCTCAAATCTCAAACTCTATCCAATATACAGATCCCCAATGGAACAAAATCAAAAACCCAGAACTATTCTTGAAACTCTAGGTGAAGAACTCATCAGAATTATTACGCCAGTCTCAATATGTATGCTGCTGGTTGTAATTCTTGTTAAAGTACTGAATACGGATTCAGAAGGGTCCTCAATAGGCCTATCATTTACCACCATAGCCACTGTAGCTTACAGTGAGAGCAGTTCAGATTCTATTTGGGATAAGCTCAAAGGTGCCTTGTTGAATTCACTTGTATTTATAGCTGTTATTGCAATAGTTACTTTCCTGCTGGTGCTTCTGTTCTATTTCAGATGCACTAAATTCTTGAAATACTACATGGGTTTCTCTTCTTTTCTTGTTTTGGGGTTTATGGGTGGTGAGATTACCGTTTTCTTGCTCAAAGATTTCAGCTTTCCTGTGGATTGTATTACATTTGTGATTGTATTGTTCAATTTCACTGTTGTTGGTGTTTTGGCTGTGTTCATGTCGAAAATGGCAATTTTTGTTACACAAGCTTACTTGGTTGTTATTGGGATGCTGGTGGCTTATTGGTTTACGCTTTTACCGGAATGGACCACTTGGGTGCTTTTGATTGCCATGGCATTGTATGATCTTGCGGCTGTTTTGTTGCCCGGTGGGCCTTTGAGGCTCTTGGTAGAGCTTGCGATATCTCGAGATGAAGATATCCCTGCTTTAGTTTATGAGGCTCGCCCGGTTATTAATAATGATTCATCTCCGAGTGGTGACGTTGTGCAAAGAAGGGTATGGAGAGAAAGAAGGAATGCAGGTTCTACTTCAGATGAAAATTCAGACGCGAGGCCTAACACAAATACTACTCATGATATGAATTTGAATACGACTCTGGGGACAAATTTATCTGCTGGGAATGGTGAGAACGAGATTGATTTAGTTAATGCCGAAGAGGGTCAGATTTTAAGAGGGGACTCCGAACTTGCTGCACCTCTTATTCAGCATGAAATAAATGTCCGTATGAATTCAGAGGAAGGTGCAAGTCCAAGTGAAAATTTTGCTCTGGAAGGAATTGGCTTGGGATCCTCAGGTGCAATTAAGCTCGGGCTGGGTGACTTCATCTTTTACAGCGTTTTAGTTGGTCGGGCTGCAATATACGATTTAATGACGGTTTATGCATGCTACCTTGCAATTATAGCTGGTCTTGGTGTAACTCTGATACTCCTTGCGGTGTATCGGAAAGCTTTGCCTGCTCTTCCAGTGTCCATTATGCTAGGTGTGTTATTTTACTTCTTAACACGGCTATTACTTGAAGTATTTGTTGTAATATGTTCATTGAATCTGTTGATGTTTTAGAAATTTGATATATAATTGAGATAAGGATTTCGTAGTCCATCGACATTGATTTTGTTTTCGCTATATCATTCTTACATTATAACTATAAAATGATACATCTACTTCAACGGTTGCCAATATTATTTCTAACTGAATTTCCACTTCGTGAGGTCATTATTTCAAATTTAAATGTGCTGATGCTCTTAGTATGAATAGTGAAAATAAAAAAGAGAAAAATGTGTTAAGAAGTAATTTTGTATTACTAATTGCCTACTTGTGAATGGTGTTTTAGCCTGAAGATGATATTTGGGTAGAAAGTGAAGCCTGGGAAAAATTGGGAAAGATTTAGGTGGTTGAAACATATACTTGAGGTGCGGATTCAACCCATATCCCCTATTTCGCCTATTGTTTTATTTTGAGAAAATGTACATTACTTTAGTTGATTTAGGGAAAAGGGGAATGAAGATATTCACTTTGGACGAAAGAGGTGAAAGCTACTTGGTCACACAAGTAGTTTGCTTGCCGTGTTAAAGTCAACCCAAAATAAAATTTTAGAAAGCGTTTTGTAAAGATCCCAACTTCCCTAGAAATATGCCGGAGAAACATTGTTTCAATTAGTCCAAGTTGCCAAATTTTCTAATCCCTTTTCATTTTCTCAAATAAATATTTATTAAATATGACTGGTCACAAGCGCCAAAAACAGTACCCTAAGCAAACAAAAAGCACTTCCAGGATTTAAACTGTTCTTGGGATCCATATACATTCCCTTTGATCCAGATGCTTGACAATTCGATTATTTTACTGCATAGTGTATCCAAGTTGTGTTAAGAGTAAAAATTCGACAGCTACATTTGGAAATTTGGACTATGGATAATTTGAAACAGAATTACAAGACAAATTCTTCACATTCTTCCATTAACTACAAGTGAAGCAAAGAGAGAAATACTGCTTAAAACCATCATCTTCTTCGGGTAAGGTGCCAATCCAAGATGCAAGTTTCCAAGTCGTAATCAGTGTACTTCATGTACTTTTCTCTAATAAAATTGGTAATTTTGCAGAATTCTACAGCCTCATCTGAAAGGTGTAAACTACCTATTTCTTCCCCCATTCAAACCCTTCCAATTCTCCAATCTCAACTACATGACCAATACATAGATACTCTATGGACCAAAATCAAAGACCCAAGAGTAATTCTTGAAAATGTAGGAGAAGAAATCACCAGTATTATAACGGCAGTTACAATATGCATGCTATTGGTTGTAATTCTTGTCACGGGGCTAAACATGGACTCAAAAAATCCTCAAGAAGCTCATCAATTACCACAATAGCCATTAAGCTTACAGTGAGAGCAGTTCAGACTCTATTTGTGAATAGCTCAAATGTCCCTCCTGAATTCTTGTCTTTGTTGCTGTTGTGACTGTGGTCACTTTCCTTTTGGTTCTTATGTTCTATCTCAGCTGCACTAAGTTCTTGAATTGCAACATGGGTTTCGCTTCTTTCTTGTTTTGGAATTTATGGGGTAAGATTGCGCTTTTCTTGATCCAAAAATTCACCTTTCCTGTTGACATAATTTTAGGCTCATGATTGTTATGTTCAACTTCACTGTTGGAGGTTTGCCATTGTTCATGTCAAATAAATATCTGTTAGAAGTGTTGAAAATGAAATTAATTTGTTGGGTCAGGTTTTTAGAGGGGACTACAAACTCGCCACACCTCTTACATAAAATAAAATATATGTTGGGAGGAATTCACTAGTAGATGCTACTCCAAATGAAAATTTTGCTCTAGAAGGTATTGGCCCGGGACCCTTTGGTCCATATAATCTTGGGCTGGGTGATTTCGTGGCTTACAGTTTTTTAGTCATGTACGGTTTCATGACTGTTTGTACATGCTAGTTGTTTTATTTTACTTGTTGACACAGCTATTACAGTGAAGTTTTTTTTGTACCTATTGATGTCTTGTAAATTTGATGCATATTGTCGAGCTTCGAATTGCATAGTCTATCAACATTGATTTTGTGTCTGCTATATTTGTTCTTACACTGTTACTTTCAAATTATACATCTACTGTGTTCAAAGATTGTCACCATTACTCATAATATAACTGAAAATGTTCAAGTTGTTATTTGTAATGTGGAACTAGGTTTAACAAATAGGATCCCGAACCTGTGAGGATCATAAATTGGTGTTGGTCCTATGCAATACAGGCCTTGCAGTTGGTAAGAATTGTCGTTTTAGTTCCGTAACATGGTTTAGCCCAGCTTTTCATAAATATGAAACCCCCTCCAATAGATTTTAGTGTGCTGAGAAGAAATTGTCCTGTAATAATTTGGCTAAGAAAGGCCAGCCCGAAAATAGTTATTGCCTTGTTTCTCAATCGTGATCACCCCAGCAATAATAGAGAGTACTCCACCACGAACTGTCGAAAATCTGCTTAGTCAATTGTTATGCTCCAGCCATAGACCCCAGAACCATGTTATCTATCACCATTTCCCTATCCCACTGTCTTCGTGTTCCTCCGCTTACTCCTCAACTGGCTTCTACGGCGTTTTAGCGTCTTATATGTAACAATAACTCCCCTCGGCCAATCCTCACTTGACAGCTCCATCATTGCTTAGGCGAGCTAAGTGAGACTGAAGCTAGGTCTCTTGATTGATCATATCTAGTCAGTCCTCTTTAGACATGTTTGTAGTAAGGAACGATACTCACGGAATCTTGACAATAAAAACTGTTAACACAGAAGGGATTTTGGGGTGGGTGTGGTATTGAGAGAGATCATTCTCTAGTAGTTATATGGCCAACATTAGTAGCAGTTTTTTAATGGACTTTGCTACCTGTACATAAAATTTGTACAATTAAATTTCAATATATTTACTTTGTTAATCTAAACTTTGCACAAAATGGTATTCTATTAATCTATTAAATAGATTTAAATACTGTATATTTTGAAGTTTCCTTATTTTAGGAAAATTTAAACTAAAAGGATATCATAACCTTTTGTTAGTCATTTAGCTTTTGTTTGGTAAGGATTAAAATAAGTTTTTTAGTAAATTTTGATAAAAATTGATAAAATCTGTGGTTGAAAATTATTGTGTCCCATGAAATATTTGGTTAATATTAATTGTGTCTTTAATTTTAACCGTCTCAAACATGGGCTTAATACAAAAAAGAAATATGAACATTACAATGTACAAGATTTTAGCTTATTTGTCATCTTTAACATTGTTAAATACTGCTATGCCCTTGTTTGAACTCCATTATAATTAGTTGTATTTCATGATAGTGATTTTTAAAAAATAAAAAATAAAAATTGCGCAATTAAAAAAGAATGAGAAATTTTTGGTTTAAATGAATTTTGGAATTAACGGAGCCTTGTACATAATCCTGTGCGTAGTTCAGTGATCAGGCCTTGAATTTGCATCTCAATGACCATCAGTTCGAGTCCCCTCAGGGCCATTGAGGTGAGTAATTTCAGGGTGTTATGAAATTAGTCGAGATGCGTGTAAGTTGGTCAAGACACCCACGGTCATTTAAAAAAAAAAAAAGAAAAAAAAAAGGGCTGTTTGTATCTTGAGGGTGGAACTTCATGGTGCTACAGTAGCAGCAAAATTATGCCATGGCCAAGCCTGATGGAACTCTGCAGCCTGCTCGATCGAACCAGAGTTTTAACCGAGAAAGGGAAACGGTAAACTCAAGCTTACGGTCCACGCATCTACTCTCATCCAAGTATTTTTATTACCTTTATTATGCTCAGCATTTCCATTAAGGTATTACACCAAGAATCTACTAAGGTGAAACTGGGTCCGGAGATAATCCAACTCTATCAAAAGCCAAATTAAAGAATGCCCTCAGTTTAACTTGTCTCGACAGTTCAATCGTTAAATTCTACAGCTATACATACAGAAATTTGGACTGTAAATAATTTGAGACACAGAATTTTAAGACGTGTTCATCACATCATTTTATTAATTACAGTAGAAGGAAAGAGAGAAGCACGGTTTAAAATCGACGACTCTTTCATCCGGGATGGTTTCAAAGACTTCTGTGAACCATCAAGCAGATCCAAGATGTAAGTTTCCAAGTCTTGCACAGTGTACTTAATGTACTTTTCACCAATATGATCGGTAATCTTGCCAACAAAGTTACGGTACGCANTTCTTTCTCAAAACGCAGTTTATTCTGAGCAAGAATATGGACCAGTTCGTCTTCGAGTCTTGTCATCTCAATCTGTAATGTACATTGAGCTCGATCCAGAAGGTTCTTCTGTTTCCAAGTTCTCTTCGAGGGAAAACTTTCCAAAGTTTCTTTCAACCTTCGAACCTCATCGACAGCCTGCAAAAACTGAGAAACTATCACGGGACCGGAATTCCAAATCCTCGAGTGATTTGAATGCAATCCCGTGATCTTTTCCTGAGTTGACCGGAGCCAATTCTCAATCTCTACAGTCTTGTCGGCCTCATCCTCACCGAGTGTGGTCATTCTGGACAAGTGAACATCCAGATCCGTCAGAATCCTTCTCACATCGTTGCTCAAGTTCATGCTCTTCGTAGCCTCGAGAGCCTTCACCACGTGATAGGCTGCAGCAATCACGTGTTCTTCCGCATCACCCATTTTCAAGGATGTTCACAAACGACCCAACAGAACAAGAACACTTCAAGCAGTACTAGCTTGAATACTGAAACACATGAATAAGAAGACCAGAAAGACTCCTAACAATTTCCAATCTGAAACCCTAGATCCTAATCAAATTTCGAAGGCACGAGATCTATGAATCAAAGAAATGAAAATAAAAATTCAGGGCTTCTTCCTCATGAACCCTTTACAATAGTTCATTGTACTACACATTGATCAAAGTAAACACAGCCTGAAATTGTCATTGAAACCCCAAAATACAAAAGCTAAGCAATCATATAATCATAACCCATGGAACGCAAATACAATTACAGAAATTAAATATGTAAATTATCTATCAAGATTATCAGGTACAGCTTTAAACCTTAAAAATATGGCTTCTATCTTGGACTGGCATACAAAAAAACGATGAAACATCAAAATCAGAAACTGGG